CGGTGCGGGGGCCAGCCCTGCCCCTCAGCATGGCCCAGCGCCGCTGCGGAGCTCTGGGGCACGGCCCGAGGGTGACACCCAGTAATGCCCCCGCTGCGGGCTCCGCCAGCCTCTCTGGTCCATCACGGTCCATCGTGCAAAAATCGGTACAAAATTTTACCCAGGGAAACCGAGAGGCGGCCCCACCTCCCGGGGGGATTGTCTGGTGTAGGCCAGAACCACTTGCTGCAGGAGGAGAATGCAGCAGGGTGGACTTTTGCAGGGTCCCAGTCCCATTTTGGGACCAGGGATGTGGTGTAGTGCTAGGGATTCGGGGGCTCTTGAGGGGCATTTCACATGAGCCAGTGCGAGGCCAAGCTGTCCTCAGGGCAGCCCTTTGCTAGGATGTGCCTCCGAAAACTCCTCCAGTGTGTGCCTGTTTCTCCCAAAGCTCTTCTCCTCTACTTGCCCCGGGTTTACTGTAATAGAGCAAAGAGACTAAAAATGGATTAAATGAAAGTCGTAAAGCCACCACCTTCAGTACCGCTTCATGTGGCTCCCGCTCCTGCCGCTGCCGCTGTCCCTTTTGCGAAGCAGAGGCCATCTGGAGCTTTGTGGTCCCACTCTTCACCCCCCTCCTGTTGGTGAATTTGAAGCTGGATTGCAGGTTGCTGCTGAAAGACGTCGGTTCCCTACGCACAGGCATGAGGCCGCGGGATGGCGGGATGGCGGGGGAGGGAATAGCTGCCGGCTTGAAAGGGTTGAGCGACTGTCACCTTCCTCTCCTGAGTGTGGGTGACCTTTGAAGAACAAGTTTCTAGGACAGGCTCTTTGCTTTGCTGTGCCGGTAGCCAAAGTAGCCCATCCTACCCTGTGGCAGGGCTGGCTGTCCCGCAAAGGTGCCAGGGGATAGCAGAGAGGACTCTGCGCAAAGGAGCTACCTGCAAGGGATGGGGGGATGTGTCTCGGGAGGCTGGCTTTCCTGACTCTGCTGGGATGTCAGAAATGGGGCTGAGACGATTGAAATGAACTACAGCTACCCTGGGCACTTCCATCAGTGTTTCTGTCAGCCTGCAGGCATAGGGAGCAAATCGTACGTGTCAAGCAGCATCAAGAAGGGGCTGCAGCGCGTGAGTCGTCAGCTCCTCAAGGCAGGTGAGCTGGACGTGTCTGGCCTTGGTCCATACTGGGTCATGAAGCTCCTCGCTTCCCAGATGGCAACCACGCGACACATCTTCCCGACTGGCCACGTCCGGTGGGGCACCGAGCAGGGCTCATCAGTACGTGTCAGGGCAACTTTGGACTAAAGCTCTCCTTTTGATCCGAAAAAGGGTAGAGAAAGAGGAGGGAAACCTATTTGCGTCCGCGGGCTGTATGTTAAGGGAAAATGTGGCCTTTCTGGGGCAGAAAGCCAACTGTCTGTGTGCTTGGTGTTTCATCGTATGAGCAAGCTGGGTGCTGTGCCACTTTTTCAAGACTGCTTGGTGACTTCCAAATACATCTCTGTGTCTCAGGGAGGGGCACACCCCCTTGGGAGTTTCAAGAAAGGAATTTTGGTAGCAGTTGGATATAATACGTGACAGGAAAATGGCATCCGGCAGCACTGGTCACGTTCTGGGTAGGTGTACATCAGTCTCAGGGCGATGGCTGTGGGGATGGGGTACTCCCCTATTGAGGACAGGGGCCCTTATTTGCAAGTTTTGTGATTGTCTTTGTTGGACTTCCCGGGAGCACTGGTCCAGAGACTCCACCACATGACTGGAGGTGAATGAAATGTGTTTTTGCAAGGCAGGCAAAGCTCCAACAGTTGCACCTTCCTTCTTTGCAGGAAGGCGAAGAGCATTCCTCTGCATCCTTAGCTTGACTCGCCAGCTGCGGCGCAGCCTTCCCCTCTGCGACGCCTG